TCTCTGTTAGTCCCGCCTATACTTCCTGCCTAGCCACGGGCCAATCAGTGTTTTATTTATTTATTGACCAATCAGAGCAACATGACATACAGACCATCCCCCAGCACAGCCAAGTGCAGACCATCTCAGACACCTGCACTCAGGCCCGTGGTCCTAATCATTTTCTATGCGGACCTGCTGGGTAAAGCCACGAGGAACCCAAGAACGGGCTCCCACAGGACATACAGAACATCCCACAGCATGCCTCTGCTTCCCAATAGCCGAGTCTTTTAAAGATACTCTTTTTCTTTTTTTAAAAGATTCATTTATTTATTATGTATACAGAGGAGGGCGCCAGATCTCATTACAGATGGTTGTGAGTCACCATGTGGTTGCTGGGAATTGAACTCAGGACCTCTGTGGAAGAGCAGTCGGTGCTCTTAACCTCTGAGCCATCTCTCCAGCCCAAGATAAAGAGTCTTAATCCTTAGTACCTCTTTCATAAAGATGCTGTAGTAATTTTTATAAAAAGGCAACACTATTTTCATCACAGAACTCAGACAATAACTTTAGATGGTTGATGTCACTTGCCCAGTGCTGTGCCCTTGCAAGTATTGGGACAAGGAGTCTAGGCCTCGATTCTCCTTAGGTACTCCTCTAAGCTCTTTGGAACGGATTGTGTTATTTAGTACAAACTTGTGTAATTAACTGAAGTATTAGTACACACTAAGACTTTTTTCCTTTGGATCCGCAAATGCTTTTATGTTTCATAATGTACATGCACATGAGTCAAAACCCTGTGCTCTAAGAGTGCTGTTCAGATCAGAGGCTTCTGGTCAGGAAGGATAGTGAAAAGCAAAATTAATGGTAAAACACAGGGCCTGCAGAACTCTACCAAAGCAAGCCAGACCTGTGATCCTCTCCTTAGGTCAGAATCCAAGGCCGAAAGCATAATGGTACAGGGTATAAGTCTCTTCTGGCACGGCACTTTGCCTCCAATGGCAACACATCCTGTACATTTCTTTTCGTCCAGTGAAAACCTCTTCTTTTTCCCCAGATACTCCTCAGCTATGACATTGCCATAAGTCTTTTCAGCTTGCTGGGATTCTGATGTGCCCTCATCTTGTGACTGACTTCCCTGCTCTCTGGCTCCTCGTTTGTTGTTTGTACTTTATCATCCAGCTTTTCCTCAAGGGCCAGTTTCCCTCTGGCATCGGCTTTTTCCTTCATCCTCAGGCTTAGCTTTGTCTTCTGTCTGTCCTTGGTTTCCCATCATCTTCATTGTAGAGTGTTTCTGTGTCAGCACCCCTCTACCCACGCCCCTTCTGTTTTTCGGGGACTGGGCAGGTTGCTGTTCAGATGCACAGGCCTGCCAAGAGCTAGGACCTGTGTTTCAGTAAGAGCCCTCTGGCCACTAGCCTGCCACCAGGGCTTCTGACAGTCAAAAATGTAATGCAGTCGGATAAAATTATTGAAATATAACTTGCCAGGATACGTTTTGTTTGTTTTGTTTTTTAAAGAAAAAGTCCTTTTAATAGCATAGTTCCTTGCAGTGTAAGGCAAATACTCAGGTATGAGGGGCAGGCAGATACTTTTATTAAACAGTTCTTAGAATGAGTTTTCAGATATATGGACAGTTGAAGTATGTGAAAATAATTATCAAAAAAACTGACCATTCTAGCTCACCATTACCATGTTCATTCATTCATTCAATGTCATGAGTTTACACCCTTGGAAAAAGAATTAGTGCCCTAGTAAAAGATCTCAGAGTACCTTTGCCCTCTAAAGCATGACATACTAAGGCTATGCCAGCCATGAACCAGAATAGGGCCCTTGAGCCCTTAATGTGATTTTTTTTGAATAGGGCCATTACAGATATAATTAAGTAGGGTGTGCTCATTCTCAAATATGGGGGCATTAACCTTTTATGGTAGGCATCCCGATTAGAAGAGGTGACAGAGACGGAGTGATGTATCTGTAACCAAGGAAAAGGACTGCCTGCAAAGATGTAAAGCTAGGAGATTCATTCATCAAAGTAGGATGTGTTCTTCCTGAAGCTGCCAGAAGAAAAGACAGCACTGTTGAATCAAGTTCAGACCTAGGGCTCCAAATCATGAAAGTATTTGTGTAATTTTAAGCCACCCCGTTGATCGTTGTTACTATAGTCCTAGGGAATGTTTTGGGGAATTATAATTACATCATTTCTCGTTTTTTCTTTCCTCCCTCCAAACCCTCTCATATATCCTTGCTCTCTTTCAAATTAACGGCCTCTTTTTTCATTATTTGTTGCATACCTATATGTATGTATATACATATGTATTTTTAAATACATAAATACAGCCTGATTAATCTGTATAATGTTGCTTGTGTATGTTTTCAGGGCTCACCATTTGGTATTAGATAACCAAGTGATGTGATCTTCCCTGGGGAGGACTATTTCTCCCATTTCTAGCGTCAGCATTCCTTAGTTGCCTTTGTGTAGGACTGGATTCTCTTTTCACAAGGGGCTGAAACTCTGGATGTCTGAATGAACTTTAGCTTTTAAATGCTGGTAGATTTTTTTTTCTTTAGTATTATTAGACCAAACAACTGCTGACTAGACAAAAGGAGGCCATTGACTTTAAGTTTCCTTCCATGACCAAGTGTGCAAATAGTGCATTCAAGCTATATCTTTTAAGCAGTGTGCACAATATATACTGATGGGTTATATTTTATTGCTTCCCAAGTGTCTTAGTCCCTCCAAACTATTACAAATCGCCATAAAGTAGCCGGTTCACAGACAACAACAGAAACTTAGTATTTACAGTTCCGAAGCCTGGGAGGTCCAAGATCAGCACAGCTCTTGTTCTGATGAGGACGTCTTGCCTGAGAGGGCAAAGACAGTCTGAGACCTTTTAATGGGCATCTGTCTTCTGGCGTCACCTCTTGACCCAGGAGTGTGCTGATGAACGGCATTCAGATTACAGAACTCAGTTTTGAAGAAGGTCGTTTCGTTTGCAAATGCTCCAGGATTTGGAGACAGTGCCCTTAAAGTCAGGCAGGCAAAGCAAAGATAACCAGGCCCGGCGAGAACTGGTCAGCTATTTTTCGAGGGCCAAGAGAAATGCGAGGCCTAACCGCCGATTTTACTGCGAGGCGCATGCGGCTCTACTTGGAGATCCAGGTCTGGCTCGGAGGTCCAGGTCCCGGCGCCGACCTCATCCGTCAGCAGAGAGCAGGTACAAACCTACAAAGTCTCGGCTCCAGGAACCGTAACTAAGGGCAACCCTCCGCTCCCGGATGTGGCGTCACGCCACCGCCCCTTCCTTCCGCCTGGGCGGGGCTCGGCTCCCGGATCTGGTGGTTGTGTACGTGGAAGGCCAGCGCATGCGCGGCGGGGCCGGGCTCAGCTGAGCCGGAGGCTGTGAGCTGCCAGCCGCGCGGCCCCGGGAGGCGGTGGGCCCTGGCCACCGCGGAGGCCCCCGGAGCCGGCCGGAGCCGGCGCTGAGGAGGGGCCATGAGCTGGTTCAACGCCTCACAGTTGTCCAGCTTCGCCAAGCAGGCCCTGTCTCAGGCCCAGAAGTCCATCGACAGGGTCCTGGACATCCAGGAGGAGGAGCCGAGCGCCTGGGCCGAGGCCATCCCGTACGGCGAGCCGGGTAAGCGGGTCCCGGGGAGTCGTTGCCTGCTCGCCGTCAGACCCCAGCCCCGCGGCCCGCCTGCCTCGGCCCCGGTGCGGGTCCCGCTGACCTCAGGTGTCAGCTCTCAGTCTGCCCCTGGCCCCAGGTCCTTCCTGCAGGGTCCCGAGCGCAGCCTCCGATCCCCTAATTGCGGCGCGTCTTCCGCAGTTTGCGTCCTAGGTCCGAACTATGTAAATTCACGGAGTCAGGGAGCCCCGCGGGTAGCACTTAATGAACACTTCATGCTTGGTAGCGCAGACTTTACAAAACGCTTCCTCCTCTTCAGAACAACCCGAGTCAGGGCTGGTAGTACCCGTGTTCTACAGAAAGAGCTAAACGAAACTCTGAATGCATAAGTAACTTGCTCCAGGTGAGGCACAGAATGTACTGGGGATAGTACCCGGGGGCCGTGTGCTTGTTCCAAGAGTTCCCAAGTGTAACTCCTTGTCGGCAGACCCAGGCCTTTCAGATTGGCCGAAATGGCCGAAATTGCTCTTTCGAGGGTCCAGTTACTTGTGTCTTTAAGTCTGAGGGGTTCTTGAGCATTTTTAAGTGTGTTGCAACGGACACAGGAGTACAAACCTTTGCATGAAAACAATACTTGATCACTCTCCGGCTTCTGGTTTTAGCTGTACACTGTTAAAGACTCGGGGCCCAAGTCTGAACCATTGATATCTTAGTGTATGTGTGTATGTAGGTATGTCATGATCTTACTTTTTTCCGTGTTACATGACCCTGCTATGGAATAGCTCACCCTGCTTTTTTGTGGTTGGACCCCAGAGTTTGAGATACTAAATTGGAGATCAAATCAGTTTCAAACATAATCTTTCTTTACCCCCCTGAAATTTGAGGTATGAATAGTGCTGTATAATTTATTTCTAAGGGCAGGTTATCTGGAATGGAGCCAAATTTTCATAAATGGCTGTTTTCATTGATTTTCATCACCGGTTGTGTTTTGGATTACAAGACAACATAGGTCTGGAGAATGGGAATTTAGGCGAGGTAACTGCAGTTTCATACCACATTTTCCAAGAGGCGAATTTAAACCCACCCATGAGGATGACAATTACCTACCTTTTAGACCTAGGCTAACTAGCAGACCTAACTAGCAGACCTAAGCTAACTCGCACACCTAATCTTGCTTTAAGCTTTGTTTTCTGTTTTCACATTGAACAGGTGACTGGAAAACTCTGTCTCCAATTCAGAGTTTCCTTAGCACTTCATTCTAGGTAGTGCTGGACTCTTAGTCGAGGGTCGACTTTGTTAAAGAGCTTCTTGATTTTTCTTAAAAAGTCTCCAGTTAATGTGTACCCTCTCTAACAACTTCTAAGTGCACACAGAATTGTGGTGATTTTGCTTGTCTACTTTTTAATTTGCAATAAAAAATATAAAGAAATACTTTGGGTTTGAAGAGAGAGGCCCTGGCAGACTGGTCATTAAGTACATAAAAGTAAATTTATTCACTAGAACTTACTGTTCTCATCAGTTTAATTATGATTTTCAAAAAAAAAAAAAACATCTCGATGATCTCAGGTTCAGTTTTGAGTGCTGTTGTCTGTTTAGCTTATAATCAAGTTTTATCTAATGTTACCAGAATAAAATGATTGTGTGCCTAAATAGTTCTGTGACTATATGTGGCCTGTTAGTGAGGATTTAGACTGTTTTTGTGAGATGAGTCACATATCTGGGATGGGCTATGAAACCTACATCATTACTTTAAGCATGTTCTGGGAGGGATATAGCATACTTGCTTTGGCTAGGAAAAGCCAAGCCTGGTCTTGTACTTGTTCATAGACCCTCTCAGGTCAGCCCACACTGGTTTTATTCTTTTAGGCCCAAAGTTAATCTGGAACCTAATTAGTGATACTGTAAGCAAAGAGTTTAACAGCTCCCAGTTACAGGGTGCATTTCATAGGCTTTCTCTTTCTCTCATATGAATCCTCTGATGATGATTGAAATATTAATGCTAGATATGTTTTCTTTAATGAATTAATTTATTTTTTTGTCAAAGGAATAAGTCCCCCTGTGAGTGGAGGATGGGATACTTCAACCTGGGGATTGAACTCAAGCACTGAACCTCAGAGTCCACCAACAGCCGCTCCTAAAGCAATTACAAAGCCAGTTCGAAGGACTGTAGTAGATGAATCTGAAAATTTCTTCAGTGCCTTTCTCTCCCCATCGGATGTCCAGACCATTCCGAAGAGTCCAGTGGTATCAAAACCTCCGGCTAAATCACAGCGTCCAGAAGAAGAAGTGAAGAGCAGTTTACATGAATCATCATCCCCTGGCCAGTCCAGAACTTCTGAAACAGCTGAGTCAGAAGTGAGAGACTCTGTGTGTGTCTCAGGAGAAACTCCGGCTGTGGGCACTCCATCCCCTGTGCCTGAAGGCAAGCATGCAGAAACTGCTAGTCAGGAGTCTGAGGTGAAGGTGCCCACTGTGCGATTGAAGGCGTCTGAAAATGTGGTGAATGTAAACACAACAACAGAAGATGTATCTACCACATCCCCCCAGTCTCTCCCAGCAGACACTAAGGATACGGCTTTGGAACCTAAGGAACAAAAACACGAAGACAGACAGAGCAATACCCCTTCTCCTCCTGTTAGCTCCTTCTCGTCGGGCACTTCGACCACTAGTGACATTGAAGTTTTAGATCACGAGAGTGTAATAAGTGAGAGCTCGGCCAGTTCAAGGCAGGAGACTTCAGATGCGAAATCAAGTCTGCACCTCATGCAGACATCCTTTCAGCTGCTCTCTGCATCCGCTTGTCCTGAGTATGGCCGCTTAGATGAGTTCCAAAAGCTCAACGAGAGTTGCTGCTCGTCGGATGCTTTTGAAAGAATAGACTCGTTTAGTGTGCAGTCTCTAGATAGCCGGAGTGTGAGCGAAATCAACTCAGATGACGAGCTGCCAGGCAAGGGCTATGCTTTAGTGCCTATTGTAGTGAATCCTTCGACCCCAAAGTCTGCAGTAGTAGAATCCCCTGGAGAAAAAGCTGAAGAAGAGGAGGGAAACGAAACGTTGATTGCACCTTCTGAAGAAGCAGAGTTAGAGGAAAGTGGCCGAAGTGCTACTCCTGTTAACTGTGAACAGCCAGATTCGTTGGCTTCCCCTACGCCAGTAAACGAAGGGCAGCTTGTCTCCTGCCCGGCCGCTGAGCAGTGTGAAGCTGCTGACAGTCAGCCGGAAGCACTGCCCGAGAAAGAAGACATTTGCAAGGTAACTACAGTGTTTGGGCTTGGGATGTGTCATGAAAACATTCTCATGGACATGTGATGATTTGAAAACGTAGATCTCTGGTCATTTAATTGTAGCAATAAGGACCTTAAAATGGATAATGTTGATATTAAGTTATTTGAAATGTCTGCAAAGCAACTATGATAGAATAAGTAGATATTATAAAAAAAAGCTTAACGTTTCTGTTTTACATTTTTATTGTTGAATCCCTGTCACTTTAAAATTCCTTTATGCTCCACATATCCTAAAAAATGTCAGTTTGCAAAGGACTTGTTTATGTCACATGTATCTTTAACTCTTCTAAAGACATACATGTTAAAGCAACTCAAATGTTACTATTTTTTCTTAGAGTATTTTGCATGTTTATACTATTTATGGGAAATTTTAGATTTTGTCTAAATGAATACTTATATGAATACTATTGATGCTTTCCTGTGATTAATATTCTAATGTTGATGTTTTGTTGACATAACTAGTATACTTCCTAAAATCTTTTGGCTTGGTTTCTCCTTATGCTATTTTTGATATCTGCTGTTAATAGCTATCTTATGTGAATGAGAAAAGGAAATGCCCAGGGAACAAAAGTGAAACTTAGGGTGACAAATGACTTCTTCCTAATAATACAAGAGAAAATGTGTCGATTCTTTAATGCTAAACCAGAGCTCTGCTTTTTCCTGATTTTTAGAAATTAAACAGAAGCTGGCATCTTTCATAGACTTCGAAAATGTATAGATAACATAAGTGGAGAAGTGTACTGTAAGTGCTCAGTGTTGCCTTACCTACCGTTTTTGAAATGAGCAGATTCTGTTTGCTGGGTTTAATATTATTCAGAAACAAAATGCCATGCTATACTTTTGAGTGGGTGGTAGTGACCTTGCAGTATATGCTGATACTTTGAGTCGCTGAAAGCCAGCACTAGCTACTGTTCCTGTTTTCAGTGTCTTTATGAAGGTAAGTGATTTTTAGTCTGTCCTGACTCAGACAAGACTCTTTGCAAGCTGGAAAGGCACCCTTTCTCCCTTTACAGATAAGTTTATCACTGCTTTAGCAAGACCTAAGGAATGTGATTCATAGAATTACTTCTGTTAGCTTTGTGCGATATATCCTAAAAAATTCAAATTACATGCTAATGTTTTTTAAGTATTTTTATTTTTAAGTACAGTGGATAATAGTAAAAAAATTACATGTTTGGGTTAAAGAATAATAAGAACACAGAGGGATATCTAGATACCACTAAACGAAGATCTGAAACCTTACCAGAAATTTTGAACCCTTTCTTGACCATTTTTAAAAATTTTTTTAATCTATATTCCTTCCTTAGTAGTTATACAAATAAATAAATCCTAGATTTTTCTGTTAGAAACAAAATGCTTTAAATGTCCTCATGCATATCACCTAGTATATTCACCAGGTGCTTCCTCTAAGGTATACCTAGAGGTGGAATTTTCTGCATCCTCAGATAGGTAGCTGATCAGCTAGTACTGCCTAATTGTTTTGTGTGCTCTCCCACCAGTCATGTGCTTGCTCTGCTTTGTGCTCTCCTGACAGCTGTTCTGTGTCTGCTGTGACCACAGCATTGGGTTTTGATTTGTGAATGACGTACCCTTATAGCTCTTTACTGGCATAACAGATGGACTTTGCAAAAGTCAAATGATTGACTTGTGTTTGTTCTCTTTATCCAGACAGTTGAATTTCTGAATGAGAAACTAGAGAAGAGGGAGGCTCAGTTATTATCTCTTAGTAAGGAAAAAGCACTTCTAGAAGAAGCTTATGATAACTTGAAGGAGTAAGTATTCAAAGCACGTGAGTGGTTTCTCACAGTATGTGCAGGCTAATGTACTTTGATGTTTTGAAATTAAAATGTTTCACAATTTGGGGCTGGAGAGATGGTTTAGTGGTTAAGAACACTTGCTGCTTTTGCAAGTGTTTGGTTCCCAGCACCTTCATAACTCCAAGGGTACCAGGTTCATATGTGGTATATGTACATACATGCATGCTAACACTCATTAACCAAATCTTTACAGAATATTTTGCAGTTGAAATTGTTTATAGTCACTGAAAATTGCTTAGTGTTCCAGTTATTACTGTATTTAAATATTTTTTTTTCTCAAATTATCTTTACCATATCTTTGGCATTGAAAATTGTTTCATAAAAATACATATGTATATATATATATATATATATATATATATATGTATTTCTCCTTATTCTTCTTTTAGTATTAGAAATTTAGAACATATATTTAGTGAAAATTGAAATCCTGAAGTTAAAAACACCGAACTGGTTTACTTTGAGATGACTGAGGAAGTGTGACCCAGAAGATTCACTGAAACATTTGCTTTTGTCTTAGTTTTGCACATCTAATATTAGTGACATTTCCACCAGTTGGTTTTGTTTGAAGTTTCTTAAAATTAATTTATAGGGCTGAGGATACAGGTCTGTGGTAGAGCATTTTCTTAGCCTGTACAGCCCTGGGTTCAATCTTGAGCAATACCAATAAATATATAAAGAAAATTTAGCAAGTAATTTTTCTTTGAGAAAGTAATTGGCTGGCCAGATATGATGGCACATATCTGTAATCCCAGCAAAGAAGCAGAAGCAGGGGGATGAGTTAGAGGGGCTTCTTGTACTATATTGTAGGACCTTGTCTTAAAAACAAAACAGAATAAAAGTTACTAGACCTCACACAGTTCTATTTTAGTATGGTATATAGTGGAGAAAATGTGTCTGCATTTTGGGAACAGACCTCATTACCTCTGGACTGTATAAACAGTATCTTCATTCTTGTGTATTTTAAATCTAGTGAAATGTTTAGAGTAAAAGAAGAAAGTAGTAGCATTTCTTCCCTGAAAGATGAATTTACCCAAAGAATTGCAGAAGCAGAAAAGAAAGTTCAACTAGCCTGCAAAGAGAGAGATGCTGCTAAGAAGGTAATTTAAATTAAACTGTAGAACTTCATGAATGAACTCATATTTTGGTATTAGAAAAACATTAAATATTAAAAACATATATGTAGTATATTAACAAGTAAATTATAAATTTTTGTTCTATTAAAATTGGTAGATTTTAATACTTTAAAGAAATCTAGGCACTGGAGAATTGGCTCAGTAGACTTTGAAATACCCGTTGAGCAAACACGGGGACTTGAGTATGGATCTCCAGAACTCGTAAAAGCCAGGCATAATGGCATGTGTCTGTAACCCCAGTGCTGGGAGCAAGGGCTGAGAGGTAGGTGGAGCCTTAAAAAGCTCATTAGCCAGCCTTGACAAATTGATGAGCTCCAGGTTCAGACCATGTCTCCAAAAATAATGTGGAACAGTAATCAGAGAAGTCACCTTCCACAGTTGTGCATATAGATGTACACATGCACACACACAAATTTTCTTTGAATGGGTACCTATGTAATTTATGAATGAATCCTTGCAAGATATATAGTAAAGATCATTAAGATATCTAAAAATGATAATTCCTTTAGAACAAGTAGCAAACCTAAATGATGCTATGTACGTTTTAAAAAGTAATTATTAGCTGGGCGGTGGTGGTGCACGCCTTTAATCCCAGCACTCGGGAGGCAGAGGCAGGCGGATCTCTGTGACTTCGAGGCCAGCCTGGGCTACCAAGTGAGTTCCAGGAAAGGCGCAAAGCTACACAGAGAAACCCTGTCTTGAAAAACAAAAACAAAAACAAACAAACAAACAAAAAAAAAGTAATTATTATTCCTATGGATTATTTTCTTACCACTTCAGAGATTTATACTCCTAAGTATGAATTAAAAGTGTAATTTATAGTTAATGGTTAATGATTCTTTGGCTGGCATATGTAAATTTTGGCTTGTTCTGACTTTCCTCATCTTTGATGCTGTTGACATTTAGGAGGCTAATTTTGTTATGGGGGCTATTCTGTTTGGGTGCTTAACAGCATCCCTGGCTTCTCCATGTCATTGTAGTAGTGCCTTCCCTGTTTAGTTGCTGGGGATTGCCAAATGCCTTTTGGGTGCAAAGCCATGCCTATTCAGGAGCTGTTGTGCTCCCAATCTGGAGTACTTACAGACTTCCATTGTTAACAATTACGGCTGTTAATTACTGAACAAGTCCTAGCTGTTACTGACAATTTAGTATATGTGTTTAACTTTTTGAGATTAGGCTGCTTTCCCACTTTATTTATTTTTTAATCTTATACATTTTAATTTCTGTGTGTGGGTGTGTGTGTAAGTGTCTGGGTGTGTCCAGGTCACTTGCTTGGCACACTACAGGACACATATGAAAGAATGTGGGTCATGTACATTGAGTACAGGTCATCAGCTTTGTGTCAAGTGCTTTTAACCACCAAGCCATCTCACAGGGCCCCGTCCTACTTCCTGACTAATGTAAATGGTAATTTATTGTTTTTCTATGTGAACTCTTACACAGTCTCATACTTCTACCTGCTTGGTTGCTTTAGTTAGCTAGCTCATTTCAGATACTGACAATAACTTGAGACACTTAATCAACAAACCTCTTCTTATCGTATGCTGCTATGTTGTTCCATATGTAAATCATAACCTAGAGAGATACTGAAGGACAATATAGGAAGTTGTTTTACTCACATTTCCATATTAAAACTTGCTTTTATAACTGATGAGTGTAGGCTTTAGTGTGGTAATCAAAGCTGTTTCTTTGTCTTAGTTAACTAGGTAAGTGGGTTGACTCAGCTGACAGATTTATTATGGGAATGTGATTATGGGTGACTTCTTCAAATGGGAAAGCTGAGAAAAACATACCTAGAATGAAAAATCCTTTATGATAACCACAGTTTTTTTGTTTTTTTTTTTAATTAGGAAGTGAAAACCATAAAAGAAGAACTTGCCACTAGATTAAACAGTAGTCAGACTGCAGACCTCTTGAAGGAGAAAGATGAACAGATTCAAGGGTTAATGGAAGAAGGTGAGCTTTCTGTTGATTATTAAAAAGTCTAAGAAAAGGGAAAATATTATATAATAAATAGTACATATTTTCTAAGAACAAATAGTGAGCTGGGTATGATGTATACACCTGTAGTCCTAGCTACATAGGAGACTGGAGGATCTGTTGAGCCCAGGGAGTGAAGATAAACTTGAGTACCACAGAAACTGTCCTCAGAAAGAGAAAGAAAAGAAAGAAGAGGGGAGGACATGAGAGCGGGAACAGGAGGAAGAAGAAGAAAAGGAGAGGGGGACGGGAAATGAAAGCAAGGGAGGGGGTGGGCTTAAACCCCAGAAGTGGCTTGTGACAGTTTATGGAAGAATGGGGTCAGATGTAGTGAAAGAAATATGTGCTGTGTAGCCTTTTGTTAACTCTCCAGAAACAAGGCAGAATTTGTGCTTGATATGAAAGAGGCCACCATTTAAACAAAGATATCCAAAGGTTGAAATTCTAGGGTCTATAAGGTCTCTGAAGCCTTAGTTTGAGTACAGTGAGCTATGGTTTTAGCATTTGATGACTTGGAGGTCTGGTTTTTCTTCAATGTATCTTTCTCTGCATCTTGCTCTCACAGTTTAGATTGTATATTCCATGTGCAGCTTTCATTATATATCACTGTACTATTAAATGCTTTGTATATCATTACTGATGGCTGTATAAAGTCCATTGTATGGGGGAATTGCAATTATTTTAAGGATTGTTAATGTTGGATCTTTTATTATTAAATTGTTCATATTACAAATGTTGGGCGAACATTTCTAACTTAAGTTAAATATAAATGTGTTTAGAGCATTTATAGAATTTGAGGACATTTGGAAGCATTCACTTCATTTGAAATTACTATTACCCAACTTTTTTTTATTTACATAAGAATTTTTTGAATAATGAATATATTGTATATTATTTGATACAATACTAGATATGACATACTTCCTGTCTTTTTTAAGAACCTAGTTTAGCCAGTGGGAAACATAGGTACATAGACAATTTTAAAATACAGCTGTAAGCTGGGTATGGTGGTACATATCTGTCATCCCAGCATTTGGGAGGTTGAGGTACTAGGACTCTGAATTTGAAGCTAAAACTCAAATGAGGACTGTTAGTATCTTGTTTCCTAGAATCCTTTCACGTAATAATTTTAATATTCATTGATAACTCAGGTCTAAGTGAATTTTAACACTGGAGTTTAAAATTTTTATGGCATTAAAAAAAAAGAACTCATGTATGCTACTGGTTAGATAAAGCTTTTTATGTAGATTCTTAAACAATCACTGTTTTTGGCATTTATGCTTTTCTTTTTTTTTATAATCACCAGGAGAAAAACTTTCAAAACAGCAGCTACATAATTCTAACATCATTAAGAAATTAAGAACTAAAGACAAAGACAGTGAAAATGTTATTGCAAAGCTGAACAGGAAAACTAAGGAGCTGGAAGAGGAGTTACAACATTTAAGACAGGTGAGCAGCAGTCAGTGTTCTCTGTCTGTGCATTGTTTTTTCTTCCTGTAATTGGTCATGGCTTGTGGATCATTCAGATCGACTTCATGGGATTTCATGCAAGAAAAACGTTTTAGTCCAATAGATAAATGAATAATACGTTACCTAACATCACTGGGACCAAATACTTGACATGACATGAACAGCTTGAAGGAGAAGAGGTTTCCTTTGACTCCAGATTTCAGAGGATGAGATTCCAGTAGTGGGAAGGTGTGACAGGGGGTTTGGTATGTGGTGACATAAGTGCGTGCAATTGTTTGTCACGTGGTGCAAACCAGGGAGTAGGGAGAGGTGAGGCTGGAGATGGGGAAGAGCCAACCCTGAAGGCCTGTTCTCCAGTGATCATTTCCTCCAGCCAGAGGTTCCATGGCTTTCCAAAACACCCCCAGCAGAGCACATGTTGAGACACATGCACTGGTGGGCCATTTCTATTCCAGCTGTAACCAGTATTAGGAGATTCCTGGCATTATCTACCACGGCATCATTTACTGAAAGGTGTTCTTGTCTGGTTTGATAACATAGGTCCTTGATGGCAAAGAAGAAGTTGAGAAACAACATAGAGAAAATATTAAAAAATTAAATTCTGTGGTAGAACGCCAGGAGAAAGATCTTGGCCGACTTCAAGTAGACATGGATGAACTTGAAGAAAAGAACCGAAGTGCTCAGGCTGCCCTAGATAGTGCGTACAGGTATGAAATACGCAGTGTGTATAGAATCTGTTATCACACTGAGAGGTTGAAAAAGTCTCTTTTCTTTAATTTTTTAAAATTACTTTATATGCATTATATTTTTCCTGCTTGTATATCTGTGTACCACATAGCCAAGGAGTCCAGAAGAGGTAAGTGGATCCTTAGAACTGGAGTTCAGCAGTTGTCAGGTGCCATGTGGGTGCTAGGAATTGAACTTAGGTCCTCTAGAAGAATGGTCAGTGCTCTTTAAGTACTGAGCCATCTCTCCTGCTAGTCTCTTTTCTATTATTGATTATTAGCAACATTTATAGATTTATCTATGAGTGAGTTTGTTATTAGACAAAGCAAGTCCAGCAGAGTCCTCACAGTGGCTAGTGTTATTATAAGGTATGCTTACTATTATTTTGAGGTTTCTATGGTCCATAGAAATTGAATTAGTGTGGATATGTTTACTTTTGCATTGGAGTAAATGAAAAATATCAATCTGCTTTTGAAAGAGAACTTACTGATCTTCACAAAGCCAATGCTGCTAAGGACAGTGAGGTGCAGGAAGCTGCTTTGAGGCGTGAGATGAAGGCTAAGGAAGAACTTTCTGCAACACTGGAGAAGGCCCAGGAAGAAGCCCGTCAGCAGCAAGAGGCCTTAGCGCTACAGGTAGGCAGTGGGTAGTTAAAGCCACCTTTTATGTATTTGTGCATGTTTCTGCAAAGTGAAGCAGTTGACTAGCAAGTGTGAATCTGTTCTTAGATGAGGTACATCTGGTAGGCTTCTGTGATCATGTTACTGGCATTTTAGAGGAATGGATTCTACAAACCTTACTTGTGTGTCTCTAGAAATGTTCTTAGTGCAGTGGTTCTCAACCTGTGGGCCACAACCTCTTTGGGGGTTGAACAACCCTTTCACAGGGGTTGCCTAAGAGCATCGGAAAACACAGATATTTATGTTACAGTTCATAACAGTAGCAAAATTACAGTTATGAAGTAGCAGCGAAAATAATTTTATGGCTGGGGGCCAGCACAACATGAGGAAGTGTATTAAAGGGTCTCAGCGTTAGGAAGGTTGAGAACCACTGCCTTAGTGTGATGCATATACCTTGCTGTTATTGCTTGGTTTTCTGTGAGGTTTCTATATATTTATAAGTATATAGTGCGGGGGATGTAGCTCACTGGTAGAGCCTCTGCCTCCTATATGCGGAGGGCCCAGCACTTCTGGAGGAAGGAGAATTTTATGAAACTAGGTATCCTGCTGTCAGAGTAATGTATGTACGTATAATTAAAACATACAGTTTCAAGAGACTACATTATATAGTTGACTTTTGACATATTTGTAACATCTCTGGCAATTCATGAGCCTGATGAAGAAAAAAAAATTGAAACACATTGCTTTCAAAATCATCAGATATTGTTGGGTGGTTATGGTACATGCCTTTAACCCCAGCACTCAGGAGGCATAGGCAGGTGGATCTCTGTGAGTTCAAGGCCAGCCTGGTTTATAGAGCAACTTCCAGGACAGCCAGGGCTGTTATACAGAGAAGCCCTATCTTGAAAAATCAAAAGAAAAAAGAAAAAAAAAATCGTTCAATATTGAACATCTGGGATACTTACATCATTTGGCTGTTGTTAATGATGCTGCTGTAAACATTCATTACACTTTCTTTTTGTTTGATTTTTTTTTTTTTTTTTCCAGTGTAGGGGGTCTGACCAGCCTTTTGTGTGCTAGGCAAGTGCTGCCTTACTTAGCTATCGCTTCATTCCACAATAGGTCTTATGTATATGGATATCTAGTTTTCCCAGCACTGTAAAAAACAAAACAAAACAAAACACACGAAACTATTCTCAGCAACCTCAATTAGCTTTTGGTTTTGTTTTACATTTTTGGTGGATAAATTACTTACGTTGAAAGCTATATAACAAAATACAGTCAGACAGCATTTGCTTCTAATTTATCCCCTCCTTCTTGCTCCTCTTTGTCTAAACATCAGCCACTTTGTCGGTGTTTGCCTTATCTTTTCAGTCTTCCTGTTATAAATGCAGGCAGTACGTATGTCTGCTTTTTAATCAATTCACCAGGTACACGTGTGTCTCCTTCCCTCCTCTTCCATTGAAGACCACACTTACATGTTTTACAGCTGGCATTATGGACTTAGTAGGCTGTTACCTTTTTGGTTAGGAATCTTGCCTTTAACGATTTAGCCATCTTTTCAGACTATTCTGATGGTTGCATAATAGTTGAACTTAGAGTTTAGTTTTATACCACTTTGCGATGTAATTTTAAGCTATATTTTTGATGGATTTGGATTGTTTTCAATGTTTTTTTTTTTTTTTTTTTTTTTTTTTTTTTTTTTGACAGGGTTTCTCTGTGTAGCTTTGCGCCTTTCCTGGAACTCACTTGGTAGCCCAGGCTGGCCTCGAACTCACAAAGATCCGTCTGCCTCTGCCTCCCGAGTGCTGGGAAGTTTTCAATGTTTTGCTGTTGTAAATCATGCCATGTTCCATATATCCATGTGTTTCTGCCACCCTATCAAGAAAAGATACAGAATATTACTATTTTAAATTAGTGGGCTGGAGCCGTGGCTCAGCAGTTAGGAGCACTTACTGCTCTTGCAGACCCAGGTTGGTTCCCAGATCTAACATGGCAGCTTAAAACTGCCCATTACTCCAGTTCCAAGTGGTCTAGCGACCTCTTCTGACCTCCACGGGCCCTTGTACACATGAAGTACACATGCATACTTTTAGACACACACACACCCCAATTTTGAAAAATTCTTTCAAAATAAAAATACATTACTATAATAAAGAAAAATTGAGGAAGTGAGGAATAGGGTATGGGACTGTCATTCTTAAAACCACCGTGGTATATAAGGATTGCTAATTTTGTGGATTACTTTGTTAACATCTCCATCTAGTTTTTTTTCTTACAATTGATAACCATAGATATTATAGTCTTTTTTTTCATTTAGGATGAGTAAATATTTTCTGCATTGATTATACTTTTTAACGCTTATGTTCATGTATGAACATTTGAAAACAGATTACAATACTGATGGCTGTTTAGAGTTCTGGTTTCATTTTGTCATTGTCGGGTTTGCTAATGCTGTAGAGCATCTCTGTGTGCTCCATAGAATAAGTCTTCAGGACTACAATAACCAGTTAGAGGCCTGACATAATTTTTTTTATTATTTAAATATATTGCCACAGTAGGCAGTTATAAAGTATGCAACTGTGTATGAGTGACACCTTCTTCCTTATTTTTTTTCTGAGTCAGTGTCTAGCCATGTTATGCAAATGACCCTCAACTCTTGTCTCAGCCTCTCCCTAATAGCTGTGACTGCAAACACACAACATTATACTTTGCTAACACTTTTCTCTTTTAGTTTTAGTTTTGGGGTATTTAGAAAAGGCCTACTATGTAGCACTGACCTTTCTGGAACTCTCTATGTAACCTGGGCTGCCCTGGAACTCAAAATGCTCAGACTGAAATCACAGGTGTATGCCACCACACCTAGCTTAGTGCCTAGGTTTTATTTATTTACCTACTTCTTTATAGCTCATCTAGTTCTTGTCACACCCTGCGTTGTGGCAAATGTTTATGCATACATTATCTCCCCTCTATTTCATTGTATGTCAGAGCTGTACATATTTGCAGGCTTTTTTTTGGGGGGATAACAGAGTGCTTTCTTAAGTAGATAGTGTATATTTATAGCTCTGGCATTGCTTAAGGAGCGGGATGTGGGCTCATTGTCTAGTGTGAAGTGTCCTACATAAAAAGTCAACACAAATGTCACCAGCAGGAAGTTGCAGCCAATGTTCTGACAATATGTGTTGTTTGCCTTGCAGGTGGGGGACCTTAGGCTCACATTGCAACGGGCAGAGCAGGCAGCTGCCAGGAGAGAGGATTATTTACGCCACGAGATCAGTGAACTTCAGCAGGTAGGTCAAAGCTTTCCCAAGCACAAGGTCACACGCGTGTCTTCTTGAAGTAACATTTCTGGATTGAAAGCATTATTACTGTATTCTTATTGTGCCTGCAATTGGATGTATTTTTATAGCTTAGGTGAACCAAGCTGATCTCCTGGGGGAAAAAAAGGAAAATCTTTAATTTTGTCTTAAAGGAAGTAATTTTATCACGATAGATTTGCTGTCTATTGAGTATATATATGTACACACACTCACATATATGTGTATATATAATGTATTATTTTTTATTAAGAAAGCTAATAATTTTTCTCTGGAAAAATTTCTTTTTCCGGAAATCTAACTAAAGTTTAGGTTTGCTGGTGTTTTTAGTGCTTTTGTTTCTGTCAGTGGTAATAACCTGAGGATTTTTTGATTCAGAGACTCCAAGAAGCAGAGAATCGAAATCAAGAACTGAGTCAAAGCGTTTCAACAACAACAAGACCATTGCTTCGACAGATAGAAAATTTGCAAGCAACTCTAGGGTCTCAGACTTCCTCGTGGGAAATGCTAGAGAAGAATCTTTCTGATAGGCTTGGTAATCTCTTCAGTATTTTATGTTTGGTTCAGGAGACTTTCTGTCTTGTGTGTCAAAGTAGGATAGTGGTATGGCATTGAAATTCATCTGATCTCATGGTGACATTTGGTGTCTAATATGTATAGATTTGTCTTCCCCTTTTTCATTCTTATATCAATACCTCAATCATAACTCTTCTAAAGCAGTTAGTTTTCCTTACACAGTGGTCATATACTTTACTGCCTGCCATTTCATTTGTGGGGTGTTGTGTGTGCGCGCGTGAGCGCGCAAGTATGTGTGAAAATTCATGTGCACATACTATGTTCGTGTGTGTGGAGACCAGTTGCTTCTCTCCCTTATTTTTTCCCTGAACCTGGAGCTAATTGATTTGGCTAGATTGGCTGGCAAGCAAGCTGCATGCATCCTCTCCTGTGTCTGCCTGCCTGGCTGTGGGATTACATACTTTACTGCACTTGCCTTTGATATGGTGCTGGGACTCCCAGCTCGTCCCTGTGCTCACATAGCAAGCACTTTACTAAGCTATCTCCCCAGGCCTGATTCTTTCACTTATTTTTATAGATGGCTAGACAACTGTTTCCTTGTCCCTCATCCATTGCTGCCTCTGACCTCTTTCTAGCTTGTCTACAAGAATGTAAGTGACAGGGATCAGATACAGTTCCAGATAGTGGTAGAATTCCAGGAGCTGAGGCAAGTCTGAAAAGGATCAAGATGAAATCCTAGAAGAGAGATATGATGGAGTCTTAAGACTGCATCTTCTGCTTCCTTATAGACACCTCCTTGAGCTATTTCCTCACTGTTCTTAATAAAGAAGACAATGTCAAGGTGTTTCTCTTTAGTCACAGGCAAGTGGTGTGTGTATACCCTGGATGTCCAGATGCTAACAGACTCATGAAAAGTTGATGCATACCTTCTGGTTCTCAAGAATCCCATGTATAATTGGAGAGATATCATGTTCTTGTGACAAAGCATATGAGTGAGGGGTCAGGAGATAAGTGTTTGGTGTAATATTGTGTTTGGCTTTTCAGTCAACAGCAAGTCACTTAGTTTACTCCAGACTCTGTCTTTGAGTGACTCCTTGTCAGTCCCGGGGTGGCAACTAGATTCTTCTTCTTCTTTTTTTTAATTTTATAATGAATTTAATTTTACAAATCAGCCATGGATTCCCCTGTCCTCCCTTCTCCCACCCCCCAGCCTTCCCCCCCAATCTACCCCCATTCCCACCTTCTCCAAGACAAGGTCTTCCCTGGGTATTCAGCTCAACCTGGTAGATTCAGTTGAGGCAGGTCCAGTCCCCTCCTCCCTACACCAAGGCTGAGCAAAATGTCTCAGCATAGGCCCTATGTTCCAAAAAGCCAGCTCATGCACTAAGGACAGGTCCCAGTCCCACTGCCTGGGGGCCTCCTAAATAGTCCAAGCTAATCAACTGTCTCACTTATCCAGAGGGCCTGGTCCAGTTCCATGGGGGCTCCTCAGCTATTGGTTCACAGTTCATGCATTTCCGATATTTGTCCCTGTGCTTTTTCCAATCATGCTCTCAATATCTCTTGCTCATATAATCCCTCCGCTCTCACCGATTGGACTTCTGGAGCTCCACCTGGGGCTTGGGCATGGATCTCTGCATCTGCTTCCATCAGTCACTGGATGAGAGTTCTATCATGACAGTTAGGGTGTTTGGCCATCGGGTCACCAGAGTAGGTCAGCTCGGGCTTTCTCTCGACCATTGCCAGTAGTCTGTTGTGCTAAAGAGGTCCCCAGAAATCCACAAAGATACCTCCACAATAGACTACTGGCAAACTAGATTCTTGGCTTTCAAGTGTTATTTAGTAGACCATTGGAAGCCTCTGGGGCTGCTATTTTGTTGACAGAGAAGCTTAATAAATAGTTGCAGGGCTCCTCCAGACTGACCTAATTCAAACAGGTCCTCCTGAAATGCACATGGAAGTTATCACTCCAAAGTGTTGAGTTCAGTTCAGGGCAGCTTCCCTGTTCTGTTAATTAAACTTTGGGACATTGAAATTGACTCGGGGAATGACTGAATAGAGAGTATTACTCTATTCATATACTTCTAGTCTACACAAATAAATAAAATAAAAATTTAAAAAGTCATCAGTATTTGAAAACTTTAGTGTTTTGATTGTTGAGTGTTAGTCTCTGAAATGCCTGTTTCCATAGTTTAGCCATTTGCTTGGGGAAGGATATCCTGGCTGGTTCCAGTTTTTTACTATTATGGATAATGTCCTATGTCTCATGAGGAGAGAGTGTCAACTTGTGCATTAACTGACGTTGGCTTGCTTGTCTCAGTTGGTAGTCTTGTCCTAGTTTGGAAATTTGAGTCATTAGAAGTTTGAAGTCAGAACCAGCCTGGTGTCTAATCTTTCCCTGGGTTATGTGTGTATGACTTTTATTCCTCTATAATCAGGTGAATCTCAGACTTTGCTAGCTGCAGCAGTTGAAAGAGAACGAGCAGCTACAGAAGAACTCCTTGCCAACAAAATCCAGATGTCTTCAGTGGAGTCACAGAATGCTCTCTTACGGCAGGAAAACAGTAGACTTCAGGCCCAGCTAGAGTCAGAGAAGAATAAACTACGAAAACTGGAAGACGAAAATAGTCGGTGAGTGTATTTGTGTGGTATTCTCTGTGGTTCCATGACATTTTAAATCACTGTTGGGAAGTATGTTTGTTGGGTTTTAGCCTCATTGCAGTGAGAACTAGAAGTGAAAACCTTGCAGTATTTAAAGTCAGGGTCATTAGTGGCATGCATTAAGCTAGTGCTAGGATCCATTGTACTTCTTTTGAAGTTATATGTTATGTTCTACATGTATTTATTTTTTTCTAGGGAAAGATTTGTCCCATTAATGTGGTTTTTGTTTTTTTTTTTGTTTGTTTTTTAAAGGGTCTAATGCCATCAACAGAAAGGAAGGGAGGTGGGAAGGAAGGAGGGAAGAAGTGATTATTGTTCATGGAACTTGTTTTTATAGTAGTCTTCCAGGTTTTTCTAAATAAGTATTTGGATTCTTCTGCAACCACAGGGTATAAAATCGTTCATCTGAAATTACATAAGGTTATAGTGGGTATGTTTTCGCCCTTGACTTCCAAAGAGAAAAGTAGTTAAGTAAAAATGAAATGTCTGCACTTCTATAAACATTCCATAGAACTCCTGGTTTTTTGTTTTTTTTTTTTTTTTTTTGTTTTTTTTTTTTGGCCACCTTTGAACTTGGAATGGTAGCACTTAAAATTACTGCTTAAATGTCTCATTTTAAATCTCAGAGTACTGGTTTAAAAAAGGGGGTGGGTGGGAGGAGGGAAGACAGGGGAATTCATGGTTGATATGTAAAACGAATAGAAAATCTCAATAAAAAGAAAAGAAAAAAAATGGGAAAAAGTAGAACTTTCCCCTTGTGCTTCAGGGAGCTGGCACAGTCAGTTGGGAAGTCTGCGGGGCAGAGCTGCTGGTACAATGACTAGTGAATGTGGAACTGGAGTTTTTAATAGTCTGTACTGTCACCTTTTTGTTTTAATTCCCTCTGGTTTACTAGGTACCAGGTTGAGTTAGAAAACTTAAAAGATGAATATGTAAGAACACTTGAAGAGACAAGGAAAGAAAAGGTATTTTTCTTAGTGTTCGCTCCCCCAGGGCTGGCATTAGAGATGGATGGGGATGGTAGCAGCCTGCTGAGGAGATGAGAAGGGTGATACGGACCCTTGTCTTTGGTGGTGGAATGGCAGCTTGCGTTTTACACTCTGAGCTTTGCAGTTGACTACTTCCTCTGGTGCCGTGGAGTAGTGTCTCAAAACTACCTGACTGTATCTCTCTCCATTAGACACTGTTGTGCAGTCAGTTAGAAATGGAAAAAATGAAAGTCGAACAAGAAAGGAAGAAAGCCATTTTCACTCAAGAAGCAGCTAAAGAAAAGGTACAGAATTGTGTTGGTTTGAGTTGGTTTGTGTAGCTGAGCTGTTGTGGGTGACATGGATTGATCTGGGTTTACTTGTACTCATATCTTCAGAATTACTACACTGATAAGGTGAAGTAGCATTGCCAGTGCTCTGTGTAGAACAGAGTCATTGGAGTGCATTCCGATCGGCCTGTCATTGGCTTTGAATTAGATACTTTACACTTTCAAATGAATTTTGTGATTTCTCACGGCAACTAATGTAGCAAATGGCCCATAGGCAACGTCAGAATAGAACTGGCTTGGTTTTTGTGATTAGTATATGTAGTGAGGTTGTTTTGTCTTGTTTTTATTTATTTTTTTGCGTGTGTTTGTTGCGCATGAATATGGGTATGCATATTTGCATATGTGCAGGTGTGTCTGTGTCCACATGCATGTGGAGGCCCAAAGTTGACATTGGGTATCTTCCTTGATTACTCTCTACTTGTTTTGTTGAGACAAGCCTCTTGCTGAACCTGGGGCTAGCTGATTCTGGCTAGTCTAACTAGCTTGCGCTAGGAATCCTGTCTCTGCCTCCTGAGTGCTGGAATTACAGGCAGCCATCACATTTGCCTGACTTGTCTGTGGGTTCTAGGGATCCGAACTCTGGTCTCCATGCTTTATGCACTAAGCCACCTCCTTAGCTCCGCAAGGTAATTTTTACAAAATGGGTTTCCTGTACTTGAAGTAGTGTAGCATACTAAGAGTTAGCATAATATGTTCAAATAGTACACAAAAATGGAAATTACCTTTTCATTGTAGTTGGGGTTTTTAAATTTTAGTTTTATTTTGTCTGCACATAAGTCTGTTCCACATGCATGCAGTGTCCTTGGAAGCCACAAGAGGGCATCCGAATCCCTGACAAGTTACAGGAGTTGTGTACACTCTGTTCCTGCTGGGAACTAAGCCAGTGCTCTTAATTGCTGAGCCATCTCTCCATCCCCCAAGTGTTTTGTTGGTTTTTTGTTTTGTTTTGAATATATTAAAATAAGATAAGTAAGTCAGAAATTTCAGCACTTTTACAAGTAATTGACAATGTGTTACAGAACATGAAATAGTTAGCTTCAACCAAAGCTTTCTCATTTCCTTAAAAAAAAACTGGCTAATTGTGTTATAATATAAATGGGGCAATACAGGCTTTTAATTTTAATTAAAAGTTTTTTATTATGAGTAATTTAGTGTGTGTGTGTGTGTGTGTGTGTGTGTGTGTGTGTGTGCGTGCATGTATCTCATGATTTATGTGTGGAGGTCAGAAGATGTCATGCTAGAGTTGTCTCTCTCTCTCTTTTTGCATTCGAGTCCTCGGCTTGAACCCAGGTCAGATAAAGCATCTTTACCTGCTGACCCATCTTGCCAGCTCAGCTCTTAATTTTTAGATGCTTTTTATACTTTGAGAAATTGTATTTATAACATTTTATGCAGGAATTTAATGCCTTTGTGTTCATTAATTCTAGAAATTTTTCTTGCTTCCCTTATGTTTTGCTTCTCAATCTTACAGATTTTTTTTTTCTCTCCAAGGACCACAAACTCTTTTCTGTTTCTAGTACTCCCACCATGTCACGCTCGAGCTCTATAAGTGGAGTAGATATGGCAGGGCTCCAGACATCTTTCCTGTCTCAGGTAATGGCTTATCTCCTACATGTGCTTAGTTCTTACCTTGAGTAAGGGAACATGCACTGTCAGGTTGGCAGTCTCCATAACCTTGTTGGGGAAATTCGTCAGAATCTGGTGATAATTGAAGTAAAGAAATACAGATGATTTTCTGCTTTTGAGAAACTCAGACATTTGAGTTGATAAGGTCTTTGTTTGAACTTGATAATAGAACATAACATATGATAATTGTCTGTGTTCTTTAACTGAATAGGATGAGTCTCATGACCATTCATTTGGACCAATGTCTGCATCAGCCAGTGGAAGCAATCTTTATGAAGCTGTAAGGCTGGGAGCAGGATCGAGCATTATTGAAAATCTGCAGTCTCAACTAAAGCTGAGGGAAGGGGAAATTAGTCATTTACAGGTACTGGAAAAATGAAGTGTGCTGTAGAAGCCTATGAGATAATGGGGTCCACTTGAGTTCTGAGCACATTGGAAAATAAGATGAATGAATGATATATGAAACCCAGAGTGTATCACATATAGTAATGATATAAGCTGGAACCAAATGAGCCTCCTAACTGACTGACTGCCAGAAGTAGGCAGATTTATCTGCTCTATCTTAGGAAATGCTAGGTGCCTTGTGCCATGGCCTGCCTAGAAAGGACCCTTGTAGCACAAATGTTAAAAGGGTCTTATTATAAAAATAAACCTGGAGCCAGGTACTGGAGTCAACACTGGAAGATCAGAGAAGCAGAACAAGCCACAGTCACCTCGCCTTGCCAATTCCTCAGCTGATCCTGTTTCCTCAGACTAGAAGCCTCTGAGTCCTAATCCAGAATTAATCTCAGCTGAATTGCTGCTAAAAGCCTAAAAGCTTACCCAAGCCTAGTTCCTGGTCCTCACGCCTTATATACCTTTCTGCTTCCTGCCATCACTTCCTGGGATTAAAGGTGTGAGTCACCATGCCTGGCTGTTTCCAGTGTGGCCTTGAACACACAGAGATCCAGATGGATCTCTGCCTTCAGAATGCTAGGATTAAAGGCGTGTGTGCCACCATTTTCTGGCCTCTGGCTGTTCTGTTCTCTGACCCCAGATAAGTTTACTAGGGTGCACAATATTTTGGGGAACACGATATCACCACAGACCTGGGAACATCTAAGCAGGGATAGCCCACTCCTTCCCAGCCTCTTTTCTCATCAAGAAAAAAGGAAGTGCTGAACCAGCACACTTGCTTTATTTTTCCCGTAAATGCCACAGGAAAAGTCTCTCTTCTTCCCCACAAGGAATGAGTGCACTGAAAGAGACCTGCACATAGAAGAAACAACACAAATAGGAGGGAGCTGTAAAGACTATTGCTGTAAGAATTAGTAAAGTATTTTTTTAGTTTTTGATGTTAAACTTATACACTCAAAATGAATACCTCTTCCAGTTCCCATTTGAACAATTGTGAAGTGGGTTGATGTGTATTAATGTGTATCGAGAGTCCTGCTTAGTTTCTTGGGTAGTAGCGAAAGCTTTTAGCAATACGACTTACATAGTTGGGAGGGACAACACTGAAGTATGTTCTCATTGCTCTGGCTTTTTCCAGTAACTTACAATAATGGAAATGTGTGCTGTTTTCTTAGATTAGAGAAAGACGTGGTTGCATTTTTCAGACAGATCACTGTATTTTCTTGACTTCTTTCTTTCTTGCATAGTGAACCCTATAAATAAATAACTTATAAAGAAAGTTTGGGCCCCTTGCCCCCACTGCTCAGCATTATATGTTGACCTATGTTTTTCTTCAAAAATGACACATTAAATATTTTTATGTTAGTGAGAGCATTAAACAAGATACGTTTTTATTGAAACCACTTTATGATTTTGTTTCTCAGCTAGAAATTAGCAATCTAGAAAAAACTCGATCCATAATGTCTGAAGAGCTAGTTAAATTAACAAATCAAAATGATGAACTGGAGGAGAAAGTGAAAGAGATCCCCAAGCTTCGAGTTCAGCTACGAGTAAGTATTCTTCACTTCAGGATGAATTGAAGATATTTTCATCCAGTTAAATTAAATATCAAGTTTTTAGTTTATATCAGATGCATATGTGTGACTTAGTAATTTCTTTGAAAATTAAGGAGTCAGTAGTTGAGTAAAGAATGTTAAAGATGAATCTGCTGCTTGTGTCATTGCATATCTAAAGTATTTTCACAAAACATTTAGTACTACTCAAAGAACATGAGATTTGATTTGGCCAATACTTACTAAGTAAGCATGTCCGTTGCATGCTTTGTAGTATTTGACTCCGTGTTTGTTTCCGCATACTAGTCTTGTGGGATAAATGCCAAGAAATACTTAATCCAAATTCGTCACGAAGACAGAAATCAAGGATACTTAAATTAATAGGGAGGAGACTGATAATTCGTATTTGGAGAGAATTAGAGATTTAGTGGAGAAATTGGGGTGGTGTGTGTGGCGTATGTGCATGTGTATGTGCTGGGATGTGCTAGGAGGCCATGAGGATAAGTGGGTGTCCTGCTCTGTCACTCTTCACCCTCCTCTTCCCTTCAGACAGGAATAACATTCAGCCTGGAGCCACCAGCCCCAGTGAGCCTCCTCCCAGTTCTGGGGTTACAGGTCATGTGACTTTTTAGGTGAATGTTGAGGGTTAGAAGTGAGGTCCTCATGCTTGCTCAGAAAGTCCTCTTACCCACTGAACCCTTTATTGAGGTTTCCAAAGAAGTTCCTCTTTTTGCTCTGTATTCCTAGATAGACTGGGTATAAGTTTAATTTTTTAAAAGGTAAGTTTATTCTTTTTAAAATTAATATTTTTGTTCAACTCGTGATGTTTTTTCTATTGACTTGTAACTACTGTAGATATTTATATGGTCATTAAAGGATTATAAACAAATATTTTTTAGGATTTGGATCAAAGATATAACACTATTCTGCAGATGTATGGAGAAAAGGCAGAAGAAGCAGAGGAACTTCGCCTGGATCTTGAAGATGTAAAAAATATGTATAAAACTCAAATAGATGAACTTCTAAGACAAAGGCTCAGTTAACTTGTGAAATTCGTATTCCCATCAAACTGAATGTAAACACTTAATATATAAATGCAGACTTCCAATAAATTCTTTTATAGAGTTAGAAAATGGGATTTGCTGTAAAGTGTAAAAAAACTTTTTTAAAAATTCTTTTATAGTATGTAGTTATATTTGCAGTTAAATTATTTTGTGTAATATTTGAATTTTATTTTTGAAACTATTCTTTAAAAAATTTTAAAGCATTTTTTTTGTGCCTTGAACAGCACAGGGAATTATTACTTTATCCACATAGCAGTACAGTTAGGAAAGGAGATTGCTGTTTTCATATTATTGTGGATATATAATTAATTGTATTGTATCTATAATTTATATGTGTTTGTACATATTGAGAGACTTACAGAGTAATGTTAACATTGAAACTTTGAAATCTTTCACACTGAAAACATATTTCTTGAAAGTATTTTAAGATTTTAATTGAAAAGGTAATTAAGCCTGTGACTAAATTATAAACTAAGACTGTCCTTTAAAAGCAGAGGTCACACTGACATGTCTAAAATATAAAGAGAAATGTAAGCTTAAAAAATATGTCTGTTTTGAAAATTTATTCCATGTGGCTTCCACAATGAAGTGTGAACAAATGTAGACCCTTTTTATTACTTTTTTATTACTTATCCAAAGAAAGCTTATAAATATTCAATATTAGCTACACATAATTGGATAGTGGGAAATTTTGCTTGCAATAAATTTTGACATAGCATCAGTAGCAGGTAATTTTGAAGTATTTTACTACACTGTGAAACAAATCTAACATAATAAAATCACTGACAAAATTTACTCTTAAAAATTAGTCAATTTACTTTTTAAAAACTACTTGTTTAATTTTATACAGTTGTATTTTGGGACATTAAAAATGAATGTTTTAAAACACTCTCCATAGCAAAAGAAAAGTTATAGGAGTACATTTAAATTGGAAATTTTATAATTTTGCATAGTTTGACTTTTTTTTTATTCAAGTTTCAAGAAGCAAAAAAAATAACAAAAAATGTAGAATAGCTTCAGAACATAGTTATGCACTCTTCCAAAAGTTGCTTTGTTTAAAAGTTAATCAGGTCGTGTTTTAGACCTGTAAAATATTTTGATTTTATTACTGAAAATTATTTAACTGCTTTTATCATAGCCCCTCTTTATCTATTCTTTTTGTGGTTCTAGCTAAGGTCAAAAATAATCCAAAAATACATGGAAATCCCAGAAGGAGTTTCTAAGTGCAAAGTGTATGCTGTTCAGAGTAGCCTGCTGAAATCTCACTGGTTGACTGCATTTGTCCAGTACATGCACACCCCCTTGTTAGTCACTGAGCCATGTCCACCACTGGGTCTACTGTCACAGTGTGGCAGGGCTTGTGTCAGGTAACCCGTCTGTTCTTTAATGGCCCCACAGTGAAGAAGCTGTGAGAGGGTAGCCAGAGTTCTTCCCTTTAGCAGAAAGATGAACATCACTGTTGGCTATCTTGCTGGAGGTTGGTAGCTTCCACTGTTTCAGGCATTCAGTGAGGGTCTGAAATTATCCTCCCTACAATGAGAAGACAGGATTTCAAATAAAAACTCTACGTTTTAGTTACATTTTAAACAGTACTCACAGAATACTGTGAGTAGCCATCTTGCAGAATGGAGAATTTTGGGGGTGATTCAAGTGACCTTGGTTTTGGTCCTTGTGTTCCATGCAGTGTTTCTGTCACTGGGTCTCTCTGATTTGTAGCATGAGTAAATGTCCTTTTGGTGAAAGTCACAGTCGTACAATTAAGTTTCTATATTTTAGTGGTAGGAAACCGCTCCTTAACTTTTTTTTCCAGCTTTAAAATGTTTAAGCCGGGTGGTGGTGGCACACACCTTTAATCCCAGCTCTTAGGGGGCAGAGGCAGGTGGATCTCTGTGAGTTCAAGGCCAGCCTGGTCCCAGATCGAGTTCCAGGATAGCTTGGGCTACACAGTGAGACCCTGTCTCAAAAAAAACAAACAACAACAAAAAACAGCAACAACAACAAAAAAATCAACTTTTAACATTCAGGGGCAGGACAACAAGTCTGACAGCAATAAAAATGTAGAGTCTGAAGAGACAGGAAACCTCAATTTCACAACTCTTGGCAAGCATTTGAAACTGGTAGTTTGGGAAATATAAAATACTTCTTAAACAAATAGTTTAAAAAGTGGTAGAGAAAAAAATTTTGAAATTAAAATTTTCTGTATTAAACTCTAAATGTTACAATATCAACATTAAATATTTTTCTTGGTCCTTATTAATAAAATCAGCTACACTTAAAATCTTAAAGTGTTTTCAACTTATTTATTTATAAAATGACACACAACCATTTATATATATCACATGGTCTGCTTCATCTGCAAATTAATAGCTGATAATCAAACTGTCTTTATTTTGACTAATATATATTTAGACCTTTCAATACATTTCAATTTGGTAAGGGGTACTGAATAAATTTCTTATAAATAATCCAGTCGGTGGCAGAACACTTATTAAATATTGGTTGCTCTTTCATTAAATTTGCTTATATATCATTGAAAATCATCTACTCATATGCTAGTAGAATATTCTAGTGCATAAAATAGTTTGGAATTATGTGCTTCCATTCCTGAGAAACAAGGAAGATACTTGGAATTAAGAGTGTAAGAGGCACGGGCACTTGGTGGTATCAGATGCTGGTGCCTCTAGGAGCCTGGGTGGAGAGGCTGCTGCTGCTGCTGCTGCTGCTGCTGCTGCTGCTGGGCCTCTCTTGAGAGCACTGTGTAGCATTTAGCATGTAGAATGTACCAAATACATGGTAGTACAATTCAAAATATTCTAAGTATGGATGATTTCTGACTTAGAGGAATTTGAGTTTTTACAGTTAAGTAAATGAAAAGAATATTCAGTAAGTATTTCCCCATCCCTCAATTATTTAATTAATTGAACGTTTTATTTGAGTACTTACTAAAAAGCACCTGATTTGTAGTATTTAAAAGAAAGCCCCCAGATTAAAGAATGAGTGTAAATGTCTTATTTTCCTATTGTTTGTTTAGTATTATATACATGTATGTTCTAGGCAATTACATTACATTTTCATTACAAAAAAGCTGATCCAATTTTTCTTATCTTTGGTCAGTTTGAAACTTAAAAAAAAGCTACATATTTTGTAAAGGGCTAAAAGTATCATTTAAATATAGACTGATAAATTATTTTAATTCCAAATGAAAGGTAATGTAAGTAAGCACGAATCTGATTTAAATAAAGATTTGAAAGTCTGCTAATGTATTTCATTTTCATATAATTCAGAGCGGTGTTTTCTTTGTACGTAGACCTGAAGGGTGGGAAGAGCTATATTGTAACTATTTCAGCTTGGCCATCACACAGCTCCAGTACTGTTGCTAATCTCCCCTTTACTGAGAACAGACTAGGTTCTTTTTTGTTTTTAATTCTTCCAGTCTTTAAGGGAGCTCCCTCTAAGGAGATACAAATCGTGTTTCAAAGTTTTTTGAGGTAGTTCTTTTGTGTTTCATACAGCAGCTGGAGAGAATTCAGGTCCATTTCAGTTTTCAAGGAGTGCTGCGTACTTTTTAAATTTGCTTTATAATCTTTCTGCATCGTTCCAAAATCACTTGTCCTCATATAGCAATATTCTTTCCTTTTAGTAAACATTTAAAATATTCTCTCATCTGTGAAGAAGTATGTGTGTGTGTGTGTGTGTGTGTGTGTGTGTGTGTGTGTGTACCTCTCAAGTAAGTGATAGTGTTCTTTTCCATGAAGTGATGAGTAGTGTACAGAGACACATGGATTTTTTTTTTTTGCACTTGCTCAGTTCTACATTTGATTCTCCTTCATCATGCAGCAAGTACACTCAGCCATCTTTGTGGTCCATGAACTAACACTTGAACTGAGTTAAAAACTTCTTATTTATTATCTGTTTTTTTATGGTTATTGAATGCTAACAGCACAGCTAGCTTAGTCACACAGTTTTCTCTTGGTGGCATTTGAATTTATGTTAGTGTCAGTTTGAAGAGAGCCAAAAATTAAAATTTTATGATATATTTTGTGGAAATTGGGAATGGCTATTCCAGTAATACAGAACTCTGTCCCATTTTTAAAATCCCATAACTCGTTTCCTACCAATCTTAGTGACTGCTCAATATATTGGTGTCTACAAGAGCACCATGTAGATGACATACAGTTTGATTAGTTTTTACTTTGCAATTAGACCAATCTGTGTTTAGAAACCTTTCACCTACTGCACATACGTGTTTTTAATTGTATATTATTGCATTTCAAAATAAGCTCATTTCAAGTTGGTTTAAAATGTACACTGCTCTTCATTGACAGTTGCATTTCCTGATACAACAAAAATAGGTTGGTGGCAAATAAGCTGAAAAGAACATTTTTAAAGTCACTGCTGTGGTAAAATGCACAGGCCCCCCGGTTCAGTTGCCTTTACCAAAGCAAGTTAAAATCATGTTTCCTAGTGTGAGTTAGTAGTTCAGTTAAGAGCACTGATTGAGTTCAAGACCTAGTACCCACACGGCAGCCCTTGAATCAGAATTTAATGGTTGCCTCTAGCATGCTCCAGAAGGCATGCTGGAGCTGCAAGCTGCCAAGAACAGAAAAGAGCGGGAGATACACATGCAAATAACACATAACAAGCAATCGGAATAGAAATAATCGTGAAATACAAAAACAAAAACCCAGTAGCCTATGAACTTGGGCGGCTCATGAACTGGTAAAACTCCGTGGAATCTACAGTATCTTCACTACCCACCAGAAGAGTGTTGTCACTACATTCAGTCTCATTTGAAAATCAGGGCAACTTCTGCTCAGAATGAAAAAGGAGTAAAATTCCAGCCCTAGGTGACATGTAACAGTCCCATGATCCACCCGCTTACTCTGGTGCTGATGGCCTGCAAGCGCCTGGAACAGCCGCCAAGGACTTGTAGGCAGGTGTCCCGCATTTGGGAAGATGCAGGCTGCTGTCCTACAGTTGGAGAGGTGGAGATGGGTGTCCCGCGTCCGGGGGGATGTAGGCGGGTGCCTCGCGTCCGGGGGGATGTAGGCGGGTGTCTCGCATCCGGGGTGGATTCAGGCGAATGTCCCGCATGGGTTAGGCTGCGGGTCCTAGGCTGTCTCGGTAGCCTTGGCTGATGGGCCAACAGTGCCCTCCAGACAATCGGGCCGCTGGGTGTAGCCCAGGTCTCTCGGTTCCGCCCTGGAGCTCCAGGCCAAGGTGTCGCGGCTGCTCCCGGGCGCCCCCTGGCCCGGCTTGGGCGCCCGAGGTTTCCGGTGCACGGCCGCCGGCGGTGACGCCTTGCTGCTCGGGAGCAGCCGCCGCTTCTCCACAAACCAGCTGCAGGTGGGCCGCTCCGTTCTCGCCTGCTCCCCACCCCCGTCTGCACCCCCTTGGGCTCACAGCCGGATACTGGGGCCTCGATCCGGGTCCGCGGCCTTCAGCTCGTCCCCCGGAGCCTGCTGGTGGCCGCGGGCAAGGGCGATGCCTGGCCAGGCCTGTCCTGTTGCTCAGATTCCCCAAGCTGGGGCGGAGTCACTCTCCAGATCTTCTCCGCACACCTGGATTCCGAGCGCCTGCCGGGACAGCAGCCCTGGCTAGGGCTGGCTGCTGCGGGCCACGAGAGACTGACCCCTCTACACCAGGGAGGAGGTGACTTTCCGAAGACAGCCAGCCCGGGATAGCCACCTCGGCGCCTCAGGCAGCCAAGCCCTGTCTGAGCACTCTGCTCACCTGCCTTGGGACTTTAGTCTCTGAGTCCACTGTCGGCTCTGTTGCAGAGCATTGCCCAAAGCCACTCACGTGGTCGTCCCTGGTGACCCCAGGTCTCATCTTTCACGGCGTTCAGATTTTTACCTTTTTCCTCCTCCTCTTTTAGGCCTGTGGAAATCCAATCAAGCCATACACGGGTGGAGCGTGCGTGGCCGTTTTGTGCAAAAGGACGCAGTAGCCCAACCTACTAAAGTTTTCATTTGCTGGAACTGGACATCCACCCATCCCTGCCAAGTGTTGGGAGAAGACTCAACTCCAGGAAGGCTTTCTGCCAGGGCCTGAGGTTATACTTTCATGCCCCACAGCCACCATCATCCAGCATATGCAAGTGGGTACGTGCCCTCCTTTGCAAAAGCCAACTGTCTGATCTGCCTCTTTAGATTTTCCCCGTGGCCAAGGACTGCTTTTCTCCATGAATGGCTGAGTTTAGTTAACCGGTAGAACTCATTGCTGGGCAGTGGATTTGGCTAACAGAAATTCAGGACTTAGTCATAGCTGTGACTTTATGAGCAAAAGGGTGAGTCCAAGGACTGAGTAGCCTGCTGTGATCCTGAGGTTGGCACTGGCCCAGGTAGCCCTGGGAATCAGAAAGCAGGATTACGGCAGTAAGAACTGGGAACAGACTGGTTTTAGGAATGTTTTCTCTGGTAATTATTGTTCTGCACTGAGCGATGTCGGTGTGGAATGGGCTACCTTCTCCCTGCTCACCACTAGCATCTGTCTGTTTGGGTTACCGTGTCCAGTGCCCCAGTGCCTGTGACTTTACTTTGAGAGACTTGGTATTCATTCAGTAAGGAAGATAAAGCATCTGGCTAGGGGGTTTCTGGGTAAAGTATTTTCTCTCTTAGTAGTTCCTTTACATTAAAATAGCTAAATAAGGTCTCTGGTGATATGCTTTTAAGGTAATGTGCCTTATTTCTTTCAGGTTTTAAGTTATCCAGGACATCAACAGCTTCTGGGTGATTCCAAGGATTAAAGAGTTGAGTATTTTCATTACTAAGTAATTATTATTTCTATCAATATGCATTTATAAATTTTATGAAATTGCTAGTAACTCCCTGTTAGGTCAAAGTTCCAACTAAAAATTCTAATTTGGACTTACAAGGGATAACAACATACTCTTCAGGACTCCCAAAGTAAGAAACCCCTTTAGTTAATTGCTCAAGCTGGCAAAGGACTTGTTCCCAGAATCAACATGGCTCTGACTTTATGACTCCAGAGCCCTCGAACTTGAACAGAGCAGCCTGTGTGTAATGGTCAGCAAAGGCTGATTTGAAAGCTGTTGTTTTTACATCCTTGTAAAAGCCAGACTTTACTGTGGAACGCCCAGGCTGTGCTCAGTTATCTTGTAGAAGAGACACTTAGGGAAAAAGAAGCCTTGCTGCCAGTAAAAGGGGCAGAATGGTGTGAGTTGGTCAGGGATATATAGGAGAAACCCAAGAGATGTATCCTTTCCTGGGTAGGGTAGGTGAGCAGAAATCCAGTGAATTCTTGACCATTGTCGTTTTTCACAATGTTAATGCTTTGTTCAGACCTGTATAGAGAGATTTTTGAATGAATCCTTTCCTTGTGAAATCTGATGATGGTTAGTTCGTAAGAGAAACTGACAACAGACAATTGATGGGGGTCGGGAGGGGACCCGCAAACCTTACTGTATGCCTAATAAATGTGAGGCTTGGAGAGGCGCAGGGTGGCTGAGCTTTCATGATGGAATATCGATGGTTGGGCTTCTGTGGTGTGGAAGGTGGTTCAGGCTAGGGAGCATTGGCTCTGCTAGCTGGGTCGTCTTGCTATCTGCAAGGTCACAGCCATCTGTGGTCCTCTTCCCTGGGCACTCAAGGGGATGTGAGGTAGGGAGGCCAATGTCTGTATCCACTGTTTACTAATGTATACAGATGCAAATTTCTTTCCTTTTTTTTCTCTCTCTCTCTTTCTTTCTTTCTTTCTTTTTTTTTTACAAGACAACAGCATTTTGGAACCATCCCTGGGCCTGAAGAGTTCTGGGGTCTCTCTGGATAATCAACTCTGAAATAGGCCAAGTTGGGGTGGGATATATTTCCCCACACTTGTGTATCTTGCTCCTAGCACAGTACTTGGCACATGGCAACTGCTCAGTAAATATTTGGTGTACAAAGAAGCGTGATTTGGTGACATAGTAGAGTATATAGTAATCATGCTTAGCCATTTGGTGTTTGAAGAGGATTTATATATTTACTGTGTGGAATTGGGGATTGAACCCAGGGCTTCATGCATGCTAGGCAAGCACTCTACACCTGAGCTATATGCCCAACCCTAAAGAGGGATTCAAAAAATTTTAAACAAGGTACTATTTTAAATTTATTCTTTGTGAATTTCACACATGCATACAATGTTATTTCAAACATATTTGCTCCCAACAGCCTCCCAACTTCATGTCCTAAAAGGTGATATCGACCTGGCTGACTTTGAACTCACAGAGATCCTTCTGCCTCTGCCTGTGTTGGGATTAACTGTGTGGACCACCACTCCTGTCTAAAGAGGCTTTCTTAGTCACGGCCATCGGTGGCTGTCATCACCATTAGTGATGAGGTTTTCAATTGAATCTCTAGGTCTGCAGGCTGCTATGTTAATGCTGCTTGTCTTTGGAGTATTGCTTCATGAAGTCCCACTGAGTGGCCAAGATGAGGCTCATTCTGAGACTGATAGTGTGCCAGGCAAAGCCCTGTATGACTACTCCAGCCTCCGCCTCCCAGAGAAACACATTCCCTTCTTCTTGCACAATAACAGGCATATTGCCTCTGTCTGCAAAGAGGATCCCCACTGTCCATATAAGGTAGGTCTTACTTCTTCTCATTCATTTTCTCATGTTCAGCATGGTATTTTTAGTTTTTTTTTTTTTTTTATTTACACCTTTATATGTTTAGGTTCATTTTTGAGGTTAGCATGCAAAGCAATGTGTTTCATGATGTCACGTTCATGCATATGTTTTCTCGCATTCATACCTTGCTCTCACTCATACAAGGATGCAATTTAGGCTGGCTTGTTATTCTGTTTCAAAACTCATGGCTAAAGCTGGGCTTTTAACATTTGCCATGAGTCAACCACTGTTTTCATTTTGTATAATATTCCTAAGGGACGAAAATTAGCTTAAAATCATATTCCACTCACAAGAAGGGAATTCAGCATTAAAACTGTAGAGAAAATTAATGGGCAGTTAAAGCTATCTGCATATTCTGAAAAATGAAGCGCATGAGATTTCAGGAAGAAAAGAACATTTTGTCAAAGCAAAGAATGTCACACCTCTCCTTTCGGCACTTAGGAGGCTTCTTAGCACTTCATTTCAGTAGTCACACCTCAGCCTTGGCTCCAAATAAGTAAGACTGTGTGAGCTTGGAAAGTGCTCAGACAGAGCCCATTAAGACGCCTCCGGAGGCTTTGGAGATCAAAGTGGGCCATTGTAAGACACTTCCTTTCCCATGGTGCTGGCACAGGAAGCTCATGGAATCTGACGGCCATGGCTCCTGGGCCTTGCAGAAGAGCCCTGGCCTCCGGGGCTGGAGAGCTCTGACCTTGTGCTGTTGCTACAGATCTTGAGTGATGGGTAAAGTCGCTGAGCCATCCTTTTTACAAAATCTTTTAGTAACAGAAATTCCAGAGGATATATGGTTATTTTTTTTTTGTTTTTTCTTTTTTTCTTTTTCTTTTTTTCCTTCTAGTGCTTGATTATAGAGTTTACTTTCTGAGAAAGACAGAAGACAGTCCCTTAAGGTACCTCAGGAAACCCTAATTCAGGTTGTCTGTGGTAGTCTAACTAGAGCCTGGGCTTTGGTTATGGAGCAGACATTGGAGGAATGAGTAAAGACGATGGTGGAGACTCTCGAGCCTGGCCATCTCAGAATGTTGCATGAATATATATTGTAAAATGTAAATATGGAAGTTCTGTCAAGAAAGGCCTGAGAGTCTCCTTTAACCATCAGAAGCTGGGAGACAATTCTAAAGGTACACATTTTATGTTCTAGAAACATCTGGAAAATCTAAATTACTGCTGGGGTTATGAGAAATCCTGCAAACCAGAGTTTAGATTTGGTTACCCTGTTTGCAGCTATGTGGACATGGGATGGTAAGTCTCCTCATGGAATCCCCTTCTCCCGTCTGCGTCTGTGTTCTTTGAAGAGCATGTTGAGTCTCAGCTAGACTCTCTGGTACATAGTAACTCCTGAAGATGTTGATTTATTTATCCAGGCCATGAATTCAATCCATCTCACTGTTTTTCTTCTATCAGAGGGAGAAACTTACATTGACTGTAGAACCACCCCCCCATATATGCTAAAAAGATAAATAGGAAGTTTCTTATAGATTTTTAAAGACTAGCTATCTATGCTCAGGGGGAAGTCAAATATAATTAGTAAATCTAAGTGCATGTCTTTGTTGGGCAAAGACAACATGGTAAACAGCACTTTATTTTCCTCAGTTCCAGATGACCCTAACTTCATAGATTTCTGTTGTGCCTTTTAATATAAAGGAATAGTCTGTGGATTGTGAATAATTTGTTTGGTATCTTTATGTGCATAGTGATAATTTTGGGGGGAACTGTGATGGCATACCGTAAAAAATAAGGTACGAATAGACTTCCAGCAACTCAATTGATAGAAAGAAAACCCAAGACCAGAAAAAAGAAAGTAGGTGGAAAGATGCCTTAGCGGTTAAGAGCACTTGTTGCTCTTTGTAGAGGTCCTGGGTTCAGTTCCCAGCACCCACATGGTGCTCACAGCCACCCATAACTCCAGTTTCAGAGAATCTGATGCCTTCTTCTGACATCTGTAGGCACCAGGCATGCACATGGGGGCACACATGCATACATACAGGCAAAATACTAATCCACATAAAATAAAGTTTAAACAAAAAGGGGGAAAAAGAAAAAGAAAACCAACCAACCAAACAAAAACAAAAAGGAAAGAACAAGTCCTAAGATCTCTTTCTTTGCAAATAGGACAGATACTCTGGAGTCGGCTGAGGACTTGTTCTGGAAGCAAGCTGACTTTGGATATGCCCGGGAGCGGCTGGAGGAGATACATGTGCTCTGTCAGCCAGAGAGAACTGTGAGTGTCCAGCTGCTTAAGTAAGCTTGCTTGGTGGAACCAATATTATTTGTTTTATTGTATAGCTTGTAATGTAAAAACAAGATGGTCCAATTGTACAGCTTCCCTGTGTAGCCCAGGCTGGCTCCAGGCATGGCATGGTCTTTTTGGTTCATCCTTGGTACTAGACTTACAGGTGGAAACTAGGGGTGGAGTTGGGAGTTGTTACAGTCAGAGTCTGGGCTCTTTTGTGCTGTTGTTGTTGTTTTTGAGCCAGGGTTTCTCTGTGTAGCTTTGCACCTTTCCTGGAACTCACTCTGTAGACCAGGCGGGCCTTGAACTCACAGAGATCTGCCTGGCTCTGCCTCCCAAGTGATGGGATTAAAGGCATGTGCCGCCACCGCCTGGCTTTTTTCTGGCCCTTTTTTCTTTTTTTAGATTTATTTATTTATTTTGTGTCCAGTGTTCTGCCTGCATGCATGCTTGCAGGCCAGAAGAGGGCGCCAGATCTCATTACAGATGGTTGTGAGCCACCTTGTGGTTGCTGGGAATTGAACTCAGGACCTCTGGAAGAGCAGTCAATGTTCTTAACCTCTGAGCCATCTCTCCAGCCCCAGAACCTGGACTCTTAACAGCCCTACCAAGCTGGACTCATTGCACTCGTTGGCTATAGCACAGAAACACGCAAACACTAGTGAAAAACAGAGAAGGAAGATTTATTCCGTGCGGTCACATTGGGAAAGGAAGGGGAATACAGTGGTTTAGTGACTCTCTTCCACCATACACACACACAGGCCATCTTCAGGGTCCTCCATGAGCTTGAGGTTTAAGTAGAGGGCTGTAGGTATGTGTCACAAAGCAGTCCCAGGAACAGTGTGGTCCTGAGCCATTGCTGTGCTGATCTCAGTCTTTCCTGAAGGGTGGTCTGACAAGTTGTGAAAACTATGGGAAATTTCTTCCTAGGAGAAAGTTACTGTATCCCTACCCCCCCCTTCCCTCCCCCCTCCCCCTTTCTTCCCACCTCTCCTCCCCACTAGCCTCCTTCCCCCAACCCCAGACTGGCACCAGGCTTCAGCCCTTTCCTTCTCAGGACATGAAATTCCTGAGGAAATTCCAATTCCTTGGGGACTATTGTTTCAATGATCTGAGAGGCACAAGAAGAGAATGGACACCTTCATTCCTGGCAGGGTGGCTGTATTCAGGGTTCCCAAATAGGTCATTTTGTTTCCTCTGAAAGGCCCACCCTCCTCTTCACATATATATCAGATAGTTATATTTTGAGGGAGTTAAAATAGTTTTAGATTTAGACCTCCCCCCAACACATGCCAAAGAAGAGAAGTTGGCAAATCTCACCTTTACAGATTATTTGTCAATTGTTTGGGGTAAGTACTGTGGCTGGACCATTACTGACCTGTATTTGTTTAGTCTTGTGTGTGTTTCAATTTGACTGGTATAGTTATTCTAGCAGGGCAGACAGACTGAGGCCTCTTTTCTAGAATGACAAATAGGGCCCTCAGAGAAAGCAAGCAACTTCTCCAAGGCTACCCAGCTATCTTGTAGAATTACACAACTGTATACTTAGAATTGAAAGGCACCTCCCCCCCCCCTGTGTGTGTGTGTGTGTATGTGTGTGTATGTACTTCTCATCAATCCATGTCACACTCCAGCACAGTGAAGACTTCCTCTCATAAACCCCAAAATCTCCATCACCTACTCCCATCACATTGATAGCTGGGGTTGATTGATGATTTATCTTTACACTATTTGTTTAGTGTGTGTGCTCATGAGATGTGGAGGTCAGCAGACATCTTACAGGAGTTGGTTCTCTACTTCTGCCATGGTGATTTTCTCTTTCTCTCTCTAGGCAACAACTTAGGTCATCAGGCTTTGGCCACAAGCACCTTTACCCCTCACTCACCATGCAAGAGTTAGGGTCTCGACGTGACCTTCTCAGGGATGCAAGCATTCAGTTCATTGGGATCTTTTACCGACTAGATTCACAAACACTAAAGAGGGCAAGCTTCAGGCCCCTCTTTCACTGGAAATTTTAGGGAAACCAAATGGCATTTGATCCCCAAATGGAGCTCAGAGCAGAAGTTCTTGAAGCACTTTCTCTTTCAGCGCCCACTATTTTGGCTGAAGGAGAGATGGGCTGTGGCTGTTGACTTTTCATTCAGTTAGAACAGCTCAGCTTTTCCTTGCTGTTGACACGGAGTCCCCAAAATGTATGGGACCATTTGCAGAAGCGCCTCACACTCACATCGGTGAAATGCCTGTCCGGACCTGCATTCGAATGTCTCTTACATGTACAGCTTCCTTGTTTGCTTTGGTTCCTCCTTAGAAAAGGCTTTTTTCGGTACTTAGGGGTAGAAATAGTTCTGAGGGATTGTTCTTTTTGGGGGGGGGGGTGGACTGAAGTGAATCACATACATAGTTCTTGGCTTTAGAACTTGAGGGCTGATGAAATGGCCCAGCGGGTAAAGGTATCGCTTCCAAGCCTGACCCCCGGAGTTCAGTCCCTGGCGTCTGTATGGCAGAAGGAAAGAATGGACTTCTGTAAGTTGTCCTCTTCTCTCCACATGTGTACAGAGGCACGTGCACACACAAACAAACAAATGTAATTTAAAAATTAGAAATAAATTTTTTTTTAATGAAGCAGCATGTAGTGACATTTGTCTCTGTTCCCAGGACTTGGGGGCTGAAGCAGGAGGGAGAGCCTGAGTCTAAGGCTAGCTTGAACTATATGTTATATAGCTACACACACACACACACACACACACACACACACACACACACACACACACTATATGCACACACATATACATATATGTGTACACATACGAAGTGATAAACTAGAGCATTTGGGAAATCATCATAGTAAGATAAACGTATGGAGACATGCAGAAGTTCCCTTGACCAGACTGGTAGGAGATAGCCGCACAGAAGCAGTGGGGAACTCCCTCTGCAGTGAGGTCAGCACAGATGCAGTGGTGAACTCCCTCTGCAGTGGGGTCAGCACAGAAGCAGTGGGGAACTCCCTCTGCAGTGGTGAACTCCCTCTGCAGTGGGGTCAGCACAGAAGCAGTGGTGAACTCCCTCTGCAGTGGGGTCAGCACAGAAGCAGTGGTGAACTCCCT